GTTTTCTTGTTTTCTTGTTTTCTTTTCTCTGTCGATAAAGACACACACGCACGCGCCCTTTTGTTGTTATGACTACGGGGTCGTAAATCCGCCATGTTTTACCTCCTCGCAGCGGCGTTGCGACAGAGACGGAGAATTCGAACGACATGAATGTAGAAAATAATCATACGGCAGAAACAGACAGGGAGCAAACGAAGGACGGCAACGAGACGATCACCATTCAGACTACACTGGGAGACGAAGGTCGGTCCTCTTCCTCGCTCAAACGACACTGAAATGTTTATCAAATATTGTGTTTGGGGCCTAGCTAACTTCCTCCGTCGTGAAATGTTGCTAGCAGCTAGCTGCCATTAGCAACGACGTTAGCCAGTTTGCCTCCTCGTCGCAGCTTTTGCTCAGATTACAAGTCCAGCCTGTTTGCGGTCTTTAGAGAGGTTTGCATGGCGGTAGCTGACAGCACAAGTGTTCGTGGCTTTGTCTCATGCTGTAAATGTTTATTTTTATTTGTATTATTTGTATTTTTCTAACCCGTGCTGTCAGATGAAGATGTGCACAAGTGCGGCCGCTGTCAGACCGAGTTCTCCACGCTGGAGGCTTTCATCCAGCACAAGCTGCAACACAACTGCAGACGTGTGGAGGCACGGGAGGCGAGCAGCCAGGATGTCATTCAAGAGGTATGGACTGTGGTGCACAGGGTTATATCCAGTAAACACAGCAAACAGCAGAGGAAGAACCAAATGTTGATATCTTACATTTTGGCAGGTTACTGCAGCCAATGGAAGTTCTTCTTCAGACGTGAAAACAGCTGATGGTGCGTCCTTAGATGAACCACTGAAGCCCTTTAATGGTGGGTAAACATTATAACTGCAGCTAACTATATGTTAGCAATTCATTTGCCAGTTATTTTCTATTATTTGTCAAAAAATAGTAGTAGAAAAATCCTATTATAGTTTTCTGAAGGTGACCAATTGCTTGTTTTATCCAACCATCAGACCAGAACTGCAAGACGTTCAGTTTACTCCTGTATATGTCAAATACAGGAATAAAGTCCACACATTTGCGAAGCTGTGATCAGCAAATGTTCAGTATTTTTGCTTGAAAGATGACTAATAGGTGAAGATTACTTTTGTTGCTCGTCCAATCAATCAGTCGATCTGCGTGTTTTTCCCACAGATGAAAGCGGTGGGCTGTTGGGTCGAGGTCGCAGGAAAAAAAACGTGCCGCCTAAAGTCACTGACCAGTCAGATGGGACTGAAGGATCCATATCTGACAACGCTGACAGTGACAAGCGTGTTTACAAAGTCAACGGAGAGGGACGCTACATTTGCCAACTTTGTGAAAAGACATTTAAAACAGTGAGTCATACTTTTTCAGTTTTGTATGTGTCTTTTATCAGGAAATGTTGGTCATATCCTCTATGAGTACCTGAAATGAGTAACATGAGATTTCCAAATTGTTAGAATTTCTTTTGATACCAGGCACTGTATTTATTTTATTTTGTACTTTATGTTGCCAGCGCTGTCTCTCTAATATGTTCTGTATTCACCCGACAGACCAACATCTTGAGAACTCACATGAAAACTCACAGTGACCAGAAGAACTTCTCTTGTGAACTGTGTGCGACCTCCTTTCGCACAAAAGGCTCCCTGATCCGTCACAATCGTCGTCACACGGGTACAGACAGTAAACCAGGTCTTGAATTGATCTCTTCTAATGAATTGTACCTAATGATAACACTACTTTCTTCCTGTTCTCTTGCAGATGAGCGGCCGTATCGCTGTAACCTATGTGGCCAGTCCTTTAGAGAGTCAGGTGCCCTCACCAGACACCTTAAGGCCCTCACACCCTGCACAGAAAAGATCCGCTTTGTTCAGTACAAGGAGATCTTGGTCAGCAAAGATGGAGTACAAAAAGGTCAGATTTACTCTGCTGAAGCTGTATGACTGTGCTAAAGAGGCAGCTTGATGGTCTTACCAGCTGTAGCTATTGATAGAGAAGTTCACCTTGTAGTACTGTATTAAAGAATACATTTAAAATACCCAAGGAAGTGAGAATCCATTGAGTCACTGACAGGTCTGTGTAAATTGTCCAGGAGTTGAAGATGAGCACGCTGCAGCGGCTGGCCAGCAAGAGGTGGTGGTTATGGAGCAAGAGCCAGAGGAGCAGGGGATGGTAGAGGCTCAGACTGCTGTCGTCAGCGTGGTAGAAGCTGGTTCCCAAGAGGTCCTCCATCAGGTCCACTTTACAATGGAGGTGGATGGAACGACACAGGAGCAGCAGGTGAGGGTTTTAGCTAAAGAAAGCTCTTTGAAAATCTCTGAAAATGCTGTTTAGTATTGTTTTTCAATGATGCATAATATGATTTTGCCTGTAACCCTCAGTCAACCTGTTCTGTTGACCTGTTGCTCTGCCTCTGGCCAGGTCGTGGTAGAGCAGTCTCAGGCGGAGGCCCTGGCGGCTGCTGCAGCAGCAGGTGACAATCTCATATGCCAGGCCATTATCAACTCTGGCATTGCACTGGGGACAGAGGAAGCTGTGATTGAGGAGACCTCGCAGGCAGACGAGGAGACGAGTAAAGTGGATTCTGACTGTCCTGATGCCGAAGAGAGTATCGCCGAGATTCAGATTAAAGAAGAGTTTGTGGAGATGGAGGCAGAGGTAAGGAAGATAGAAAATAGGGATGTCGTCTGTTTTTTTCCAGAAGTTGTGACTCGTGTGTGTGTGTGGTACCCACCGAAAATAGACAGTGAGGATCTCTTCATAGTCATATACAGTCATATACAGTTTTAGTGTCTATATCTGTAAAATATGTCAGACAAAAATTATTCTTTTAACTCAACACCACCTGTATCTGTTTTAGATCAAAATCTCTAGAGAAGGCTACATTTTTGTATTGTATTTATTAAAGGCAAACTCAGCTCCGTTCTTGCTGGAGATGTAAGGCTGCTGTGGCTGAGTTGCAGAACACACTGTGCTTCTGCAAAGAGTTCCACACTTTGCTGCCAGTTACATTCAGCATCGGGGAGGAATGATTAATTCATGTTTTATTTTAGGGTTAAGAAACAGAAAAGCTGTCAACCACTGATAGAAACTGACCTGATAAGTTCTGGTAATATTTGAACTCGTTCTCAGAAGAGGTTTTGCAATGATTATTTGCACACAGAATTATTTTTTTAATGTCTTTCTGCCTGTCGTTCTTTTGTTTTTGTTTTTTTGCAGGAAGCAGGTGATGGAGATGATCAGACACCCTCAAAACTGCACACGTGTCCTCACTGTAATCGCTCCTTCAAGGGACAGAATTACTTCCGCTTTCATGTCAAGGGCCATTTGGGTATGTATAACTACTAATGATGACTCTCAGCATCACTGTACCTCCTATCTTACTGTTTAATCCTGTTAACCAACTTTTTTCAAAATGTGAAGCAGTTGATGGGACACTGACCCCTTTCAGAAAAGAATACATTGGAATTTCAAGAACTTTTTGATAGATATTTAATTTTTCTCTGTGTCTGTATGCAGGTTACAAACCCTTTAAGTGCACACTGTGCCACAAGGAGTTTCTGACTGGTTACCTGCTGAAGAAACACATGGAAGTGCATGTCAGTGAGAGGAGGTACAAGTGTGGCGAGTGTGGCAAGCTGTACAAAACCATTGGGCATGTACGTGAGCACATGAGGGCCCACTCGGATGAAAGACCCTACCGCTGTAGCAGATGCAACAAGGGGTACAAGACCAAGGTAATTTTGTAGATATTAAGATTTTGTCTTCTATTGAACTCTCTGCTTTTATTTAATTGCTTAGTTTGTCCTCACCACCACAAAAGCATTCCAGTGGCTTCTCTAACGCATCTCTTTGTCTTGCTCAGAATGCCTTGCAGGTGCATCAGCGGACCCACGGTGATGAGAAACCTTATGTGTGTCAGTACTGCTTGAGGGGCTTCAGGGAGAAAGGTTCTCTAGTGCGACATATCCGCCACCACACTGGAGAGAAGCCTTTCAAGTGCCCAAAGTGCAGACGAGGCTTTGCTGAGCACGGGACTCTCAATCGGCATATGCGTGCTAAAGGTCAGTGTGATCAACAGCCAACTAAAGAGCAGTGGAGCAGTGACACACACAGACCTCATAACACAACCTGTGATTTCCACCAGGGGGCTGCCATAAGGATGATTCGAGTGAGCAGCAGGGTGCGGTAACAGAGGAGCAGGCGTCGGTGGACAGCCTCGCTACAGCAGCCATCATCTCAGAGGATCCTCATGCTGTCCTGGTGGAGTTCTCCTCAGTGGTGGCAGACACACAGGAGTACATCATCAAGGTGAGCCACAGGGAAGCAGCGTTCAGAGTAAGTGTGGTTTCTCCCTAGCATCACACATTCAAGGTCCTTTCAAGGGTAAATCGTAAATAGAAATCTTTTGGATCATCACCTCTGTGCCCATCAGTGATGTCATGGCAGGTGTTTCTTATTAGCAGTGAATGGCAGTTAGCTCTCTGATTGAAGAGGTTAACCTAAAGTGCAAAACAATTTTACTCAAATGATCCCATCTGTAGGGAATTGATTGGGCTGCTGATTAGAACCGATCACTTAGCACCAACCCTTTGTCAAGTGCACAGACCTTTCTAGACCATTAAAGAGAGGAGAACTAGTGTTTGAAGTTGAAACTTTACAGAGAAGAGTAACTGCAGACTGTGGCCCTGTTCACACAACTATGTTTGTTTGCATAAAACAGTAAAATTTTATTGCGGTTGTTGTACTTTTTGAACAAGAATGTACTGGTGTTTTTGTTTTCAACCCTGACCAATAAAGCTGCTCTTTTACTATAAATCACAGTTAATTCCACTGTTATACATTAATAATGTTTTTCATCGTGGTCTGTATTTCCAGGGAATATATTACACCAAACTCCCTTTAAGAAATATGACATTCTAACAATTCCTTACGTGTCCAAAACAACACGGAACTCTAGAAACACAAGATGAAGGGCATAATATGTCAACAGTCTTCTTGTCAATTCGGCATCAATTTAATCCATAAAGATAACCTCACTACAGTGTAAGTGGGAGAAGACTGGGTCTATAAAAATAATTATTATTATATCATAGAGCTGGTTGGTGGATTAAATAAATGCAGAATTAAAGACGACGCAAAACACTGTTAATTAACCGCCTATTATTAGACTGTCTGCATTTGATAAGTCAAGGTGAAATTTCATTAAGGAATGAGGTTAAAGCAGTGCCTTATGAGGTCGCTACACTAACGGTGAAGGGCAGAAAGTTAATCTTCAATAACTAATACAACTTATTAATACATTTAGAGTGCTCCTGCCATGGTTTGTATGTTCCAGCTGTGTGTTATGCCTCTTTTATGCGTCATGGATCCCGAAAACGACTGAAACAAAACAGTCGTTTTTCCAAATGTGCATGAGGATAATTTTTACAACGTGTTCTTATGAACGTAGAACTTTTTTAAAACACAAAGGGAACAACTTCCACGATTTTAGCAAAACCGGCCTGTGACACAGGACTGGAAGTACCGACTTCAATGACATTTTTGTATTATTGTGACTGACAGGCGTGATTGTCAATATAAAAACAGCTCATTTGCATCAGTCACTAGAAGTCAGAGTCAGGCACAGTTACTGACAGAGGAGCTGTGATTAAACTGTTTTGCAGAAAAACACAAGTAGATAAACCTATAGAAACAGTTTTTGATGTTTGATGGAATTTATTCATTGTAAAAGAGGCTAAACCAATTACTAACTCTAACACCTCAGATACAGTGTGCTGTTACAGAGTAATTGACCGAAGACAAGACTAGAATTGATCTCTGGCACCGTATGGTCATCTAAGGACTTTACTAATTCTCCTTATTTTTAAGTCAGTGACTTGCATAACATTGTCTCCTTTATTCATGCCTATATTCTAATTCAGGTTATTGTTATCATATCCTCTAGACTCAAACAGAGGAGGACGTGCAGGAAGAAGAGGTTACACTCATTCAAGACAGCCAAAATGAGGTCAGTATACACAAATGAGATCATCTGTAAGATCTACAGCAGTTGCAGAGTGTTAGAATCTCTTTCTTAAATTTGGTTGATACACATGAAACTGTCACATCAGCGCATCTAATAGAGCCTGAATTGCATTTACATTATCTTACGACGCTACTTCTAACTTTTGCCAGATGGGAAACCAAATCATGAAGGTGGTACAGCGGATTGTCAGCCAGTCGCATAGCGCCGGCGGCACGGGCAGCCACCAGATCATTGTGCGCAATATGGCTATGAATGAGGAGGGCGCATCCATCTCTGACTGTGGCGACACCATCACCATCGCTACCCCCGAGAGCCTGACGGAGCAGGTAGCCATGACGCTGGCCTCCGCCATCAGCGACGGCACACTACTGGCCACGGCAGGCACAGTGGAGACGGCGGACGGAACAGTTACTATGGTTACCACAGAGGAAGCAGTGGAGGAGGGAATACAGATGGTGCAGCAGCAAGAGGAATACGTCATCACCTCTCCCGAGGAGGTGGAGATTCAGACTGTCATTGTATGATCGAAGAGGATCCGAACTGTGGACTGTTATAAATGTGGCTCGACTGTACCTGTGTAGCCGATGACTGTAGAGTTTGTATAAGCTTAATGTGTAAGATTTGATTACAAAACAAAAAGGCCAAAGTGTTTATAAGGTTTATAGTTACAGAAATCCAATAACCTGCAAAAAAAAATGTGTGTGTGAAACATAAGGACTGTGTGTGCATGAAGACTAGCTCTATCATGTGCTTAATTTTTGTGGATTGATTTACTAAAATGAAGCACTGTTAATTTATGAACTTTTAGGTGCATACACTATACAGCCTGAGAGAATAACTCACTAGATTAATTTTGTAAGTGTTCATTTTGAGGGCCTGAATTGATGCATATTTTCTTTTTAGGTGGCGCAAACTGAACATGTCTTTGCCTTTTATCTGTTCTGTCTCTTCTTCTTTGCTGCAGTCAAAAAGTGAAATTCCTTCTTTTCTTTTACTACCTAAAGTGGCATCACTTGATTGCAGTTTTCACTTCTGCTCTCTGATGTCAGTGTGTTGAGTTTTGAAACTCTTTATATCCGCTGTGAAATGTGAGGCCCTTTAAAGACTGACCGATCGTGCGTGTGTGCCTGCCTGCTTGAGGCCATTCAGGGAGAGCATAAACCTCCCGTGGTACAGTGTTGCTCTTCTGAGCTGGTCGATCATAAAGCATCGTTAAGCATGACGAATACACCAGACATTAAACATGTGTTCAGTTTACTCGAGCATAGTTTGCATCAAATAAATGCTATTTTCTTATACAGTTGGCTCCCACTTATCTTTGTTGATTTGTTGGTCTTTTTGATTGAGAAGATTGTCTTTCAGTGTTTGATTATTTACATATGTGATCATATTCTATTTGTTTTTGATAGTAAGAGGAATCAACTACATGGAGAGTAACATTTGTCGTGGTTAACCATAACTGAATGTTGCAAAATAATGAAATAATTTACTGGGGTATTTTGATATCTGGTTGTTTCAATCTATCCGTCCATAGTTACATCAGCCAATTTCTTGTCTGTGCTGCTATACTAAGATCATGTAGTAGTATTGTATTATTTTTATCATCCTGTGTAGCAGTCTTATTTATTCTCTTTGTTTTTAGAAGTGTGAGTGTGACCAACATCTCATCATGGGAATACCAGCTGCTTTGAGACCACACACACCTGCCAGGTAAAACACGGCATTCACATCTCCAGCTCCCTCTGGGACACATGGACACACCACAAGGCTTGTTCTGAGTCTAGTTCTAGAGTCATGCTGTTTACCTTGTATTACTGTAGTATTTGCAGTGTTCTGCTAAATTCACTATGTCTGATGGGGCTTGCTGAACTACTGCCTCATTTGGTGTAACCTTGAGCATCTGCAGGCTACATCTCTGTAACTGGTGCTCCAGTACTGAGGTTAACACAGCCGCTATAATCAGAGAAGTGTCCCTGGCTGGTACACCACACAGTTTCTGGGTCAGTCCTCAGCCCTCTGAGAGGGCCCCATCCACATGAGCAACAGAGGAAGACAGAGAGTGAGGGTGGGAGAGAGAGAGAGAGAGTGGGAAAGGTATTTATAGAAAAATGGGGCTTCGCAGTACCTTTTCGTGCAAAGAACCATTTCAGGACCAACTGAGCGTGTCCCAGTTTCTGATCGTAGCTCAGCCATAGGGTTTGGACTGAGGCTGTGGCTGGACCGCCTCACCCAGGATGGAGAGCCTGACTCTCAGACGCTCTCCGCTCTCCTCCGACCTCAGCTGTAGACCGCTGGTTCTCTGAGAACAGGGGGAGGTACTGGCCCAGATAACCTACAGATGTGACCTTTTAGGTACACTTGATTTGCCTTGCTGGGTAGAGGTTTTTGGAGGCAGTGAGCTCAGGTGAGGAGCAGCACAAGGGTGTCCGAGGACACTCTTTGGCTGCGTCGACCTCCAGGTTGGGGGTGCAGGGAGGCTGGCTGGAACGTGCCCTGCCGCAAGCCGGGCAAGGATGAGGCGTTTCCTGAGCAGAAAGGGCCGCTTCTCCCTGCGCCAGAGCAAGTCTGGGACCCGGAGTGCCTCCAAAGATTTCTGTGAGTCTGTTTATCTGAATCATAGTTTTTACAAGTATTTCATTGTTTCGTCTGCTGGAGGTAAGATAAAGAGAGTGAAAAGGAGCTGAAGCTGAGATTGTGTATCTGGGGCGCAGGCTGGGGAGAATAGGACAAAAGGAAGTCTTGACAATCCTCTGAGTGCCGCTTCTGTTCTGGTTGGGAGAAAAGATTACACTTCCATGTCACTGATTTCCCAATCTATTTTACATCAATAATGAGCTGCAGTTTGCTGTTAACTCTCAGCAAGCTGACACCAAATTCTGTGGCTCTTTTGAGTCTTTGGATTTGATATATGTTTTATTCACTCCGCCACATCTCACACCCTGAATATGTAGCCCTGTGCTCCAGTGAGATCTGATTTGTCTTTTTTTTTTTTTGCATTGAAGGAGATCTGACAATTCTACTTTTCTCAGACTTATTTTCTCACTTCTCGTGCACTTTTTTGTTGCTTTTCTTACTTCCTGTCTCTAATTTTGTCTTTGTCTGTTTGACTTCTCCTCTGTCTGTCTTTCTAAGCCTCTGATCAAGTACAAAAAGAAAAACAGCAGTTTGGTACTGGTGGTTTGATGGATGACTGCTTGCAATTGTTTGTGTATCTGCAGTTTTATTATGGATCTTATGTAAGTGTGCTCTATTAGATTTCCCAGTGTCAAGTTTCTCCTTCTAATTTTGCACCTTGGAGTTATTTCCTCATATGATAAGATAAAAATCATTGTTGATGGGAGTGGCAGCACCGCCTTGACTTGAGGCAATCGTGTCTCATCAAATTGCTTACATTCAGGTGTTTTCTGCTTTTACAAGGAAACCTGACATAAACACAAACAGTAGAATCAGTGAAGTCTCTAATTCTGCCACATTTACTGTAAATAACCTTGTAAAGGGGACAAGGGGTATGGAAAAACTGTCAGCAAGCACAAGCATTGTGCTTGTGCTTGGGTTTTCATTTTGTGATCCAGAATATGAAGAAAAGTGGACTGACCAATCCCTATAAATGTCCTACATATGTCTTTGACATATCCAGATGGCTGTAGATGACAGGAGATGAAGTCAAGTGAGCCTGTTGGGACACTGCAGTAGAATGAGGCCAGTGACCAGGGGAAGGCCATACTGTTCAACATGTGGGCTAGATACCAACAGTCCGAAATAACCACCTTCACTCTATTTTTTTTCCTTTTTAATGTCATTCAATTTAGAGAAATCCATCAATCTAAAAATGCTTTTTGATGTGACTTCTGGGTCTTTATATTTGTTGCTTCATGAAATAGACCAGTTGTACTTGCTGCTACCCCTAGCCACCACTGAGTTGCCCTATTTAAACCAGTGGACCATTTGACCTCCATTTCACAGCTCACAACCTGCTCGTCTGTATGAGCAGCTTGCACCAGATTAGCAATGCTCCTGCACACTAATATGACATACATATCCTACAAGCAGTAAAACATGTCACCTTCCAGTTGTAAAAAAACGTACCTATTAAAGTCCAAGCCGACACATCATTCTGGCCATTTTCCAAGTTTTATCTTCTGTCCGTTCTCCAGACCTCGGCCTCCCAGCCACAAACCAGAACTGGCCGGAGGCGTTCGGCTTCCGACTGGGTGGCACTGGGCCCAGCTACATCCTGTCTGTGGTAGAGGGCAGTAGCGCCTACCTTGCTGGCCTGCAGCCCGGGGACCAGGTGGTGGACATTGAGGGCCAGGATGTGACCAACCTCAGCACACCGGCACTGATTGCTCTGGCTCAGACCCTCAAGACGGTGCCACCCAGCATCGGAGTGGTGTCAAGGATAGAACAGGTCAGCTTGACGCCCAGTAATTGACCTTTTGTGCTTTTAATTGGTTGAAAAACACTAAAAACACACCTAACATTCAGCTCTGCAGTGATGAAAACAGCACTGAGGTGGCAACCATGCTTTTTTCCCCCCTTCCTCAGATAGACATCACCCCTGGCCCAGATGGCCGTTTTGGCTTCACCATCGTTGGAGACAGCCCTCTGATGGTAGAGGACTGCATGCCCAACGGTCCGGCTGGTCGCAGTGGCCTTAAGGCCGGGGACTACGTCATGGAGGTCAACGGCATACCGGTGAAGCACCATGAAACGGCGGCAGCCATGATCAAAGCAGCTCAGGGCCGACCTCTGCGTCTGGGCGTGCTCAGCATGGCCCGGCGGCCGAAGCGACTCAGCAGCAGCATGAGGGTGCTGTCGCAGAGTGGGGACAGCATCAGGGAGAGTCGCGCCCACAAGGCCATGGAGTTCAATAAGAAAGTGGGTGTGAAATAGAAATAAATTTGACCTGTGTTTACTGCATGTTTGTTTAATTTTCTACATTCATGTCTGTGCATGTATTTATGCGCCAGGTAGAGGAAGTGCTAGGAGAGGAACCAGATGTTAAGGAACAGCTGTTTGAGGTGCTCAAGCAGTACGCTGCCGAGAGGGATGTGGAGACTCTGGCTGAGGCCCTGCCCGACATCCTGATCACGGAGGATCATCAACAGTTGATTGACAGTGTCAGGTAGCCAATCAGTTCCTCAGATATGAATATAGAAACAGACTTACAAACGTTTCTGTGTGCCTGTTGTGTATGTTTTGTTTAAACTCACTAGGAAGTCTTTTAGTCCTCATGTAGTGATTAAAGAAGCCTTGTCAGATACAAGAGAATTTCTTAAAACCGTCTCTCCCTCTGCACTAAAACAGATTTCTTTGCAATACTAAATAAAAATCAGGGGAAAATTCACTGTAAGACAAAGTTCTGCTGCAGTGGTGGTTGTGGTGATGCAACCAGGACAGTTAATGAATGTTTTACAGTCAAAACTCCCAGAGGGTGTATGTGCTTCTGAATTTACAGTTGCATGTTCATCCCTTTGTGCATTGTTTGGAACTAACTGAGATGCTTATTTGTAGGAGAAGTTACTGTCTAGTGACCAAACAATCACAACTCTTCTTTGACAAGTTTTGTTTGGACTGTTCATTATTAAATATGTAGTGCCAAAAACATCAGTACATTGCTGGATTTGAGCAACACTTTAACTGTAAAACATTGTGGGAACACATCTTATCAACAGCCTCATGACACACTCCAACTTATGCAAATTGTGTCTCAATAAATTATTAACCTTTTTGGGAAAAAAAAAAAAAAACACCCAAAAATCTAAGTCTATCTCAATCCAAGGGAATAAAGTCTGGAAATTAATATTCAGCAAGGCTGTAGCTTTGCTGTAGCTATATTTCAAAATGTTTTCTTGTATTCATTGCTTTTGAGAACACTTGTAAAAGTGCACCAGAGAGTCATCGTCCATTGTGTCTTCTAGACTGTTCAGCTATAGTTCAGCCTTCCACAACAATATAGGCACAGTGAGGGAGCTTCTTAATTGCCCCATGAAATCAATATTTTTGAAACTCTCCCTCTCAGCATTTTACTGTAAAATGTGGCAGAGATGTACATCAAGAGCACATGTCATTGGCCTAATGTCAAGCACTGACTGCTGCCCTTGGTTGCTTGAAAGTCACTTGTGTTTCTCCCCTCAGTTATAGTACACAAAAGAGAAATTCACAGCTGTATATTGTATTTCTTCCTCGTCAGCACTGATTGGAAAATCAAAACCCAATACACAATACCTCTGCACACACTTGCAATTTGTTCTGTCAGTTCCCTCCCCTCTTCTATCTTACCCTCTCACTTTGACTT